TCGCAACGACCAGCCCAACGCAACTTACTCCATATACCGGGTCCTAGAGAAGTGCACTTGGAAAGTACCAGACACAGGGCTTTCTCTATTTCTGCCCCTGCCTTATGGAATTCCTTGCCACCCTATATGAGAGCCATGCGTGACTTAGGGCCTTTTACTCTAGCACTTAAGACCTGGCTTTTTACTAGAACATTCGATCTCTGTTAATTTTTAAATTCTGTATGTATGTATTTTATCTTTTACAATTTAGCTGTAAATCACCTAGAGCATTCTCGGATGGAGGGCGATTAATAAGTAATTAATGATGATGATGATGATGATGATGATGATGATGATCTTGGCTCAGCGGCATCGCCAGATATCTCCTTACGATTTTTTTGGACCTTTTTGCCCCACATCATGACTTCGTCCCCCTCCAAAGACTTATTTTCTTCAATGAATTTCCCCATAATGGACTATGGACATATAGCGAGCCATGATCAAGGCTCTCATCAATTTCTCAATGAAGCGGACTCTGGGGGGGGGGATAAGTGGGTATATTCTCTGTATCATGATTTCTATATTTTCATGTTTTCTCCCTGTGTGTCTCACCTTTTCCTGACCCTTTGGCCCCATTCCCCTTTTGAAAAATAAATATATATAAATATATGAGGAAGTCGCCCTGGCCCTGGAAAGGAAGGAATTACCAGGTGAAAGAATCCTTATCAGAAGACACTAATTGCATGGATGATAATAAACGATTGTGCACCCTGGCCTCGGAGGTTTTGCCCACCAGGGGAAATGGATGCTTGGCAAACTATTGAAATTATATTTCAATAGGACGGGGGGGAGCCTTCGGAAAGCTTCCCCTCTCCTGACCTGTCACTCATTCAATCTCTCTCACTAAGACATCCACTTAAGTTTCCCCCATTGTTCCTCTGTCTTGGCGTGGAAAGAAAACCCGGATTATGGCAGTATCGCCAACATCAATGTTTATTGTAATCACTCAAAGAACAATAGTAAGGCTAAGCTCGTAGGCCTTTTAGGACTCGCCAAGCCTCTTGGACATTTCCTGAGTTTCCATAATCCACTCAAGAATGCATTGTATTCCCTTGTCCCACCTCCCTCTCTCCTGATTCGCTGGAGTGCCGAGGCAGCAGAAGCCCTCTGATTGGCCCAGGCGCACAGCAGAAGCCCTGTGATTGGCCCAGGCTCTCGAGAGGTGGCCGAGCCTCCTCCCAGCTGTTGAAGCACCGGCCAATCACCTTCAAGCCGGGGAGCAGGAGATTCAAACCACACAACCCTGTTTTTTCTATAAAAACTGCCTTTATTTGTACCCATGCATGCTTAGCTTGTCGAATGATTGCTGATTTGCATCCTTTTCAGCTGAATCGCTAATAAATCATCTTGGTAGTGCTTCCTTCAATTTTGGTGAGATTCTTTTTGGGAACCTAGGAAAAATAAATCGTTTTAATTTGGGCTTCTCTTTGTTCACCATTTTAGCGATCTCTCTTTGGTGGGGCTGCAGGGTCTCTCCTTCTGGACCAGACCTTTTTAAATTCCCTATCAACTTCAAGCAGACAAACGCAACGAAATAATAATAATAATAATAATAATAATAATAATAATAATAATAATAAATTATCTCAAAGGTGGTACACCAATGCAACAAATGAATACAAGATTGCAAAGGCAGCATACAAACACAACCAATAAGCCAAAAAGTATTAGAAAAGTGGCAGGCAAATGCAACAAATGAAATATCACAAAAGGAGCATCCAAATGCAAAACGTAAATTTAACAAATTATTGCAAAGGTGGCATCCAAGTGCAATGGATAAATATCGCAAAGGCAGCAGACAAACGCAAAGAAATAATAATAATAATAATAATAATAATAATAATAATAATAATGTCGAAGGCTTCATGGCCGGAATCACTGGGTTGTTGTAGGTTTTTTCGGGCCATATGGCCATGTTCTAGAGGCATTTTCTCCTGACGTTTCGCCTGCATCTATCTAAGGATGATTGCCATAGATGCAGGCAAACATCAGGAGAAAATGCCTCTAGAACATGGCCATATAGCCCGAAAAAACCTACAACAGGCAATAATAATAATGATGATGATAATAATAATAATAATAATAATGATGATGATGATGATGATAATAATAATAATAATAATGAATTATGGGTTGTTGTAGGTTTTTCCGGGCTATATGGCCATGTTCTGGAGGCAATAATGAATTACCTCAAAGGTGGCACACAAATGCAACAAATGAATACAAGATTGCAAAGGCAGCATACAAACACAACAAATAAGCCAAAAGGTATCACAAAAGTGGCAGGCAAATGCAAAAAATGAAATATCGCAAAGGAAGCATCCAAATGCAAAACGTACATTTAAAAAATGATTGCAAAGGCGGCATCCAAGTGCAATGGATAAATATCGCAAAGGCAGCAGACAAACGCAAATAAATAATAATAATAATAATAATGAATTATATCTAAGGTGGCACACAAATGCAACAAATGAATACAAGATTGCAAAGGCAGCATACAAACACAACAAATAAGCCAAAAGGTATCACAAAAGTGGCAGGCAAATGCAAAAAATGAAATATCGCAAAGGCAGCAGACAAACGCAAATAAATAATAATAATAATAATAATAATAATAATAATAATAATGAATTATATCTAAGGCGGCACATTAATGCAACAAATGAATACAGAATTGCAAAGGCAACATAGAAACACAACCAATGAGCCAAAAAGTATCAGAAAAGTGACGGGCAAATGCAACAAATGAAATATCACGAAGGGAGCATCCAAATGCAAAACGTACATTTAAAAAATGATTGCAAAGGTGGCATCCAAGTGCAATGGATAAATATTGCAAAGGCAGCAGACAAATTTATTTATTTATTGTGTCATCAGCAACCAGACATTAGTATTAGATTTTTAACAAAAACAAACAGACAGACAAAGACAGAATTTGCAAGCTTGGTGGTTGATTAAATGTCCTTTGAGCAGTATCTGGCCACTTGGAGTGCCTCTGGTGTTGCTGCAAGAAGGTCCTCCATTGTGCATGTAGCAGGGCTCAGGTTGCATTGCAGCAGGTGGTCAGTGGTTTGCTCTTCTCCACACTCGCATGTCATGGATTCCACTTTGTAGCCCCATTTCTTAAGATTGGCTCTGCATCTCGTGGTGCCAGAGCGCAGTCTGTTCAGAGCCTTCCAAGTCGCCCAGTCTTCTGTGTGCCCAGGGGGGAGTCTCTCATTTGGTATCACCCATGGATTGAGGTTGGGTTTGAGCCTGCCACTTTTGGACTCTCGCTTGCTGAGGTGTTCCAGCGAGTGTCTCTGTAGATCTAAGAAAACTATTTCTTGATTTAAGTCGTTGACGTGCTGGCTGATACCCAAACAAGGGATGAGCTGGAGATGTCTCTGCCTTGGTCCTTTCACTATTGGCTGCTACTTCCCGGCGGATGTCAGGTGGTGCAATACCGGCTAAGCAGTGTAATTTGCTCCAGTGGTGTAGGGCGCAGACACCCTGTGATAATGCGGCATGTCTCATTAAGAGCCACATCCACTGTTTTAGTGTGGTGAGATGTGTTCCACACTGGGCATGCGTACTCAGCAGCAAAGTAGCATAGCAAGGGCAGATGTCTTCACTGTGTCTGGTTGTGATCCCCAGGTTGTGCCAGTCAGCTTTCGTAGATTAGAGATGAATGGCTAAAACTTACTAAATGAAGTTCAACAGGGGCAAATGCAAGATACTCCACTTAGGCAGACAAAATGAAACGCAAAGATACAGAATGGGGGATGCATGGCTGGACAGCAGTACGTGTGAAAAAGATATAGGACAACAAGTTAAACATGAGCCAACAATGTGGATACCGCTCCAAGTCCTTGCTCTCGCATCTCTACACCAAACAGAACCCGATCCATCTTGAGAGAGGAGGGAAATTAACGGCAATTTAGGGAACGCAAGAAACACATCCGTAACGAATGTATAACAACAGGGCCCCCGTCTGTCCCCTACCCAGCTGGGCCGAACCCACCCCGCAAACTTCTTGTAGGTCAAAGCACAGCCAGAGTGACTCCCAGGTATTTGGGTTCGTTGCAATGCTCCAGTGGGATTCCTTCCCAGGTAATAATCCTCAGAGCTCGGGATGCTTATTATCTCAAAGGTGTCACACAAATGCAACAAATGAATACAAGATTGCAAAGGCAACATAGAAACACAACAAATAAGCCAAGAAGGATCACAAAAGTGGCAGGCAAATGCAACAAATGAAATATCACAAAGGGAGCATCCAAATGCAAAACGTAAATTTAGAAAAATTATTGCAAAGGTGGCATCCAAGTGCAATAACTAAATCGATGCGCCCCTCCAAAATAAGCCCTGCAATGGGCTTGCCCTTGGTAAGAAACATCTGGATGGCACGCAACACAACGATTCTTCAAATTTAGCTGTTTTAGGGTGCATCTACACTGTAGAATTAATGCAGTTTGACACCACTTGTCAGCCATATTTCAACATGATTGAACCCTGGATGTTGTTGTTTCCCAAGGTTGCAGAATATTGATCCATGGCTGTTAAAGTGCATTAGTTTTAATGTATTGTCGAAGTCTTTCATGGCCAGAATCACTGGGTTGTTGTAGGTTTTTCGGGCTGTGTGGCCACGTTCCAACAGACCTCACAACCTCTGAGGATGCCTGCCACAGATGCAGGTGAAACGTCAGGAGAAAATGCTTCTAGAACATGCCCAAAATGTCGTGTCCCAAGGTTGCAGAATATTGATCCATGGCTGTTAAAGTGCATTAGTTTTAATGCATTGTTGAAGTCTTTAATGGCCAGAATCACTGGGTTGTTGTGGGTTTTTTGGACTGTGTGGCCACGTTCCAACAGACCTCACAACCTCTGAGGATGCCTGCCACAGATGCAGGTGAAACATCAGGAAAGAATGCTTCTAGAACATGCCCAAAAAACCTGCAACAACCCTGCATTAGTTTTAGAGTGCAGATGCACCCAGGAGGAACGCAAAGGGGAAGTTTCGTTTGGAGGAAGTCCAAGGGAAACAGAGTTCTGAGGAAGAAGCGTCTCCGGCCAAAAAAGCTTTTCTCGTGAGTTCCTCTTGCTGGTGCGGAGTTCGAGAGAAGGCGCAAAGGAGGCCGTTGAGAGACCCAGCAGAGAAAATGGGCTTGGAGGTGGCGAAGAAAATCTCTTGTTCTGCAAAGGAAAGTATCTGGAAGGACTTCCTGATTGCAGGTGAGTTTACATGGACCTGGGAGAGATGATGGGCCAAAACTAACAAAATGAAGTTCAACAGGGACAAATGCAAGATACTCCACTTTGGCAGAAAAAACGAAATGCAAAGATACAGAATGGGGGACACCTGGCTCGAGAGCAGTACGTGTGAAAAAGATCTTGGAGTCCTCGTGGACAACAAGTTAAACATGAGCCAGGAATGTGATGTGGCGGCAAAAAAAGCCAATAGGATTCTGACCTGTATCAATAGGGGATTAGTGTCCAGATCCAAGGAAGTCATGCTCCCCATGCTCTAGTCTGTTTCGGTGAGACCAAACCTGGAATCACACTGTGTCCCATTCTGGGCACCACCATTGAAGGGAGATGCTGACAAGCTGGAATGTGTCCAGAGGAAGAGGGTGACCATCTGTCAGGGGTGATTTAAATGCAATATTCCTGCTTCTTGGCAGAATGGGGTTGGACTGGATGGCCCATGAGGTCTCTTCCAACTCTTTGATTCTAGGTTTCTATGAAAAGATCCAGGGTCTGGAGAACAAGCCCTATGAGGAGTGGCTTAAAGAGCTGGGCATGTTTAGCCCGAAGAAGAGAAGGCTGAGAGGAGACATGATGAGAGCCATGTATAAATATAAGAGAGGAAGTCATAAGGAGGAGAGAGCAAACTTGTTTTCTGCTGCCCTGGAGTCTAAGAACAATGGCTTCAAACCACAAGAAAGAAGATTCCACCTGAACATTAGGAAGAACTTCTTGACTATGAAAGCCGTTCAGCAGTGGAACTCTCTGCCCCAGAGTATGGTGGAGGCTCCTTATTTGGAAGCTTTTATAGAGGCTGGATGGCCATCTGTCAGGGGTGCTTTGAACACTATTTTCCTGCTTCTTGGCAGGAGGTTGGACTGAATGGCTGATGGGGTCTTTTCCAACTCTATGATTCTATGATTCTATGAATAATTGTGTTGTTGTAAGTTTTCTGGGCTGTCTGAGCATGCTCCAGAAGCATTCTCTCCTGATGTTTCACCTGCATCTATGGCAGGCATCCTGAGAGGTTGCGAGGTCTGTTGGAAACTAGGCAAGTGAGGTTTATATATCTGTGGAATGATGTCCAGGATGGGAGAAAGAACTTGTGTCCATTTGAGACAGGTATGAATGCTGCAGTTGGCCACCTTGATTAGCATTTAATGACCTTGCAGTTTCAAGGTCTGACTTCTTACTTCCTGGGTTGTTTCACATGTCCATCTTTCACAGGCGCATAACAGAGTTGGGAGGACAGTGGCTTTATAAATGAGCACCTTGGTCTCCCTACGGATATCTGGGTCCTCAAACACTCTCTGCTTCATTCGGAAGAATGCTGCACTCGCAGAGCTCAGGCAGTGTTGTATTTCAGTGTCAGTGTTGACTTTTGTGGAGAGTTGACTGATGGAATCATTCCAGGAGTTGAGTGTGATGTCTGTAGACAGTCCAGGTTTCACAGGCGTAGAACAGGGTTGGAAGGACAGTGGCTTTATAAAAGAGCACATTGGTCTCCCGGTCCTCGAACACTCTCTGCTTCATTTGGAAGAATGCTGCACTCACAGAGCTCAGGCGGTGTTGTATTTCAGTGTCAGTGTTGACTTTTGTGGAGAATTGGCTGATGGAATCATTCCAGGAGTTGAGTGTGATGTCTGTCGACAGTCCACGTTTCGCAGGCATAGAGCAGGGTTGGGAGGACAATGGCTTTATAAACGAGCACCTTGGTCTCCCGGTCCCCAAGCTTCATTCGGAAGAATGCTGCACTCGCAGAGCTCAGGGGGTGTTGTATTTCAGTGTCAGTGTTGACTTTTGTGGAGAGCTGGCTGATGGAATCATTCCAGGAGTTGAGTGTGTCATCTGTAGACAGTCCACGTTTTGTAGGTATAGAGCAGGTTTGGAAGGACAATGGCTTTATAAATGAGCACCTTGGTCTCCCGGTCCTCAAATACTCTCTGCTTCATTCAGAAGAATGCTGCACTTGCTCAGGCGGTGTTGTATTTCAGTGTCAGTGTTGACTTTTGTGGAGAGTTGGCTGATGGAATCATTCCAGGAGTTTAGTGTGATGTCTGCAGACAGTCCATGTTTTGCAGGTGTAGAGCAGGTTGAGAGGACAATGGCTTTATAAACGAGCACATTGGTCTCCCAGTCCTCGAACACTCTCTGCTTCATTCAGAAGAATGCTGCACTTGCAGAGCTCAGGCGGTGTTGTATTTCAGTGTCAGTGTGGACTTTTGTGGAGAGTTGGCTGATGGAATCATTGCAGGAGTTGGGTGTGACCTCTGTAGACAGTCCACGTTTCACAGGCAGTGTTGTATTTCAGTGTCAGTGTTGACTTTTGTGGAGAGTTGGCTGATGGAATCATTCCAGGAGTTTAGTGTGATGTCTGTAAACAGTCCATGTTTCGCAGGTGTAGAGCAGGTTGAGAGGACAATGGCTTTATAAACGAGCACATTGGTCTCTTAGTCCTCGAACACTCTCTGCTTCATTCAGAAGAATGCTGCACTTGCAGAGCTCAGGCGGTGTTGTATTTCAGTGTCAGTGTTGACTTTTGTGGAGAGTTGGCTGATGGAATCATTCCAGGAGTTGAGTGTGACATCTGTAGACAGTCCACGTTTCACAAATGTAGAGCAGGTTTGAAAGGGCAATAGCTTTATAAACAAACATTTGGTCTCCCGTTCCTCAAACACTCTCTGCTTCATTCGGAAGAATGCTGCACTTGCAGAGCTCAGGCGGTGTTGTATTTCAGGGTCGGTGTTGCCTTTTGTGGAGAGGTGGCTGCCAAGGCCGTTGTAGCAAAATTGCTACTCTATGTTAAATTTTTGGTGTATAGCTCTATGTTTGTGAATGTGAAACACTGAAAGTCTATTTCAGAAAAGTAAACCAAGTATATTATACTGACTGTAAGCCTCAAGCTTGCAACAAAACACAAATGTAACCACAAGCGTTGGAGCCAGAAGTTATAAATAAACTGTGTTACTTTGTTATACAGAAGTGTGTCTCAGTGCCTGTACAAAGGTTAAACAGCACACAGAAAGTCCCAGCTAATATAAAAGAAGAAACTGAATCATTATAAGAGTAAAGAGGTTTTTCTTAAGTAAAGAAATAGTCTCCCTCCCTCATCACTATAGCCGTCCCCCAGCAACACCTTCTGGGTACGATCCTCCAGGAAGGCCTATTCTCTCGAGGCAACCCAGAAGGATACATTGCAATGCTTGCATCCGTATTCTCTGAAAATCCTATCGGGAAAACCAAAGACTTTGGAACTAGGTTTTGGAGACCCAAAAGTTGCGTTGGAGTTTGAACCACTGGTGTTGGTTGCATATACATTTTTTGCACATCAAATGGATGTTTTGCCTGGAGCGAGGGTCCCTTCTAAACCTCTCCCTTTTCTCTCTCACTACAGTGCCAGTCCTGAGTTTCTGCTTCTTCTTGGCTGGTGCTCGCGTCTCGTTGACCGATATTACGGTGGAGCCAGAAAACCCAACGCGTGGAGGAAGCGTCCTCCTCACCCCCACACGCATCCCAGAAAACAAGAATTCCTGCCTTTGGTACCGGGGAGAAGAATCCCCTCAAAACCTCATCCTTGAGTATTCCTTCTATCCATCCTTTAAAATTCATCGGGGAGATGGCTATACCAGGCGAGAGAACATAGACCCCAGCTGCTCCCTTCAAATTGTGGAGTTGGAAAGAACTGACTCTGGAACTTATAGCGTCAAAATAGTCAGTGCTCATCGGACGGTCAAAAGAGAAGTGGACCTCGTGGTCTCAGGTACGTTCCAGGTGTCCTTCATCCGCCCTGCCTTCCTTTCTGCGGCCTTCCCCCCTGGATGCGGAGAGCCCAGGCCGGATCTACACTTCCATATAATCTAGATTATCAAAGCAGATAATCCATGTTATCGGCTTTGTTCTGGATTATCTGAGTCTACACAGATCACCCATACACAGCAAACTTTCAATGCCATTTTCTCTTTTTAATATTGTTTTTATTAAGAACTAGCTGTACCCGCCACGTGTTGCTGTGGCCAACCTTCCCTCCTTCTTTCTCTCCTTTCTTTCCCTCCTTCCTTTGCTCCCTCGTTCCTTCTTCCCGTTTCTTCTTTCCTTCTCTCCTTCCTTCTCTGCCTCTTTCCTTCCTCCCCCTTTTTCTTTTCCTCCCTCTTTCTCTCCTTTTTCCTTCTTCCCTTTCTGTCCTTCCTTCACTCCCTTTTTCCTTCCTTCCTTCCTTCCCTTTTTTTCTTTCCTTCTCTCCTTCCTTCTCTGCCTCTTTCCTTCCTCCCCCTTTTTCTTTTCCTCCCTCTTTCTCTCCTTTTTCCTTCTTCCCTTTCTGTCCTTCCTTCACTCCCTTTTTCCTTCCTTCCTTCCTTCCCTTTTTTCTTTCTTTCTTCTTCCCCTTCCCTAACTTCCCCCCTTTTCTATCCTTTCTTTCCCTCTTGCCTTTCCTCATTTTCTTTCTCTTCCTCCCTTCTTCCCTCCCTGTTTCTTCTTCCTTTCTTTCTTGCATCTCTTTCTCTCTTCTCTGTCTCCCTCTTACACCTTTCCTTTCTTTCTCCCTTTCTTTCTCCCTTCTCGCATTCCGTCACTACCTTTTTCAATTCCTTACTTTACCTTTTTTCTGACTTATCGACTTCATTCTCTGACGCCTTTCATTGCTCCCTCTTTTCTTTTCTCCCTTTCTCTCCTTCTTTGTCTCCCCGATGAAGATCTATTTGCAGAATCCTTTTTTATAGATTGACTAGCTGTACCCATCACATTTTGCAGTGGCCAACCTTCCCTCCCTCTTTCTCTCCTTCTTTCCTTCCTTCCTTTGCTCCCTGTTTCCTTCCTTCCCTTTTTTTCTTTCCTTCTCTCCTTCCTTCTCTGCCTCTTTCCTTCCTCCCCCTTTTTCTTTTCCTCCCTCTTTCTCTCCTTTTTCCTTCTTCCCTTTCTGTCCTTCCTTCACTCCCTTTTTCCTTCCTTCCTTCCTTCTCTCCTTCCTTCCTTCTCTACCTCTTTCCTTTCTTCCCCTTTTTCTTTTCCTTCCTCTTTCTCTCCCTTCTTCCTTCTCTGCCGCTTTCCTTCCTTCCTTCACCTTTTGCTTCCATCCTTCCTTCTCTCTTTCCTTCTTTCCTCCCCTCCCTCTTGCCTTCCCTTTTTTTCTTTCCTTCTTCCTTCTCTACCTCTTTCTTTCTTCCTTCCCTTTTTCTTCTTCCTTCCTTCCTCTCATTTCCTTTCCCTTCTTTTTTCCTTCTCCTTTTTTTTTTCCCCTCCTTCCTTCACTCCCTCTTTCCTTCCATTCCTTTTTTCTTTCCTTCTCTCCTTCCTTTCTTCTCCCTCTTTCCTTCCTCCCCCCTTTTTCTTTTTTCCCTCTTTCTCTCCTTTTTCCTTCTTCCCTTTCTCTCCTTCCTTCGCTCCCTCTTTCTTTCCTTTCTTTCTTTCTCTCCTTCCTTCCTCTTCTACCTCTTTTCTTCCTTCCCCCCTTTTTCTTTTCTATCAAAGCTAAATTATGTATATACTAGCCGTCCCCTGCCACGCGTTGCTGTGGCCTCTCTGGTGGTTATGGGGGTTCCGTGTGGGAGGTTTGGCCCATTTCTATCGTCGGTGGGGTTCAGAATGCTCTGTGATTCTAGGTGAACTATAAATCCCAGAAACCCCCAAATGTCAAAATTCTATTTTCCTCAAACTCCACTAGTGGTCACATTTGGGCATATTGAGCATTTGTGTTGAGTTTGGTCCAGATCCATCATTGTTTGTGTCCGCTGTATTCTGTGGATATAGGTGAACTAAAACTCCCAAACTCAACATCAATGCCCACCAAACCTTTCTTGTGTTTTCTGTTGGTCATGGGAGTCCTGTGTCCCAATTTTGATTCAATTCCATCATTGATTGAGTTCAAAATGCTCTTTGATTGTAGGTGAACTATAAATCCCAGCAACTACAACTCCCAAATGACAAAATCATTTTTTTTTGAGTGAAGGACATACATTGGGTTAGGTGTCTTGTGTCCAAATTTGGTGTCAATTCGTCCAGTGGTTTTTGAGTTCTGTTAATCCCACAAACGAACATTACATTTTTATTTATATAGATGTTTGTTCCGCAAAGGCTCCTCCGTGGCTTGATGTATCTGGCCCAAACGTGGCACACATACACGTCATGAGCCAACTTAAATTACTGGCTGTTTTTCTTCTTTGACAAACCCACCCCGTTTAAGACTTAAGCCCCAGAAATGAATTAAGAGGTATGCGTTTCTGCCGTGCTCAGAGGCAACCACAAGAGGGCCCTATAAAGGCTTCAGCATGACTTGATAGATCTGGACCAAACTTAGAATCCTAGAATCAAAGAGTTGGAAGAGACCTCCTGGGCCATCATCCAGTCCAACCCCATTCTGCCAAGAAGCAGGAATATTGCATTCAAATCACCCCTGACAGATGGCCATCCAGCCTTTGTTTAAAAGCTTCCAAAGAAGGAGCCTCCACCACACTCCGGGGCAGAGAGTTCCACTGCTGAACGGCTCTCACAGTCAGGAAGTTCTTCCTCATGTTCAGATGGAATCTCCTCTCTTGTAGTTTGAAGCCATTGTTTCGCGTCCTAGTCTCCAAGGAAGCAGAAAACAAGCTTGCTCCCTCCTCCCTGTGGCTTCCTCTCACATATTTATACATGGCTATCATATCTCCTCTCAGCCTTCTCTTCTTCAGGCTAAACATGCCCAGCTCCTTAAGCCGCTCCTCATAGGGCTTGTTCTCCAGACCCTTGATCATTTTAGTCGCCCTCCTCTGGACACATTCCAGCTTAGAGTCAATATCTCTCTTGAATGGTGGTGCCCAGAATTGGACACAATATTCCAGGTAAAGTGGTCTAACCAAAGCGGAATAGAGCATGGGGAGCATGACTTCCCTAGATCTGGACACTAGGCTCCTCTTGATGCAGGCCAAAATCCCATTGGCTTTTTTTGCCGCCACATCACATTTTTGGCTCATGTTTAACTTGTTGAAGGAGCTGGGGGTGGTGACGGCCGACAGGGAGTTCTGGCGTGGGCTGGTCCATGAGGTCACGAAGAGTCGGAGATGACTGAACGAGTGAAGAACCACAAGGATTCCAAGATCTTTTTCACACGTCCTGCTCTCAAGCCAACCCTCATCGTCCCCCATTCTGTCTCTTTGCATTTTGTTTTTCCTGCCAAAGTGGAGTGTCTTGCATTTGTCCCCGTTGAACTTCGTTTTGTGAGTTTTGGCCCTTCATCTCTCTAATCTGTCAAGATCCCTTGGAATCCTGCTCCTGTCCTCTGGAGTATTGGCTCTCCCTCCCAATTTGGTCTCGTCTGCAAACTTGGTATGCAAACCCTTCATTTTCTAACTTTAACATTATTTAACTGCCCCGATTTAGAAAAAGGAAGTCTCCAATCTTAAAAGCTGCAAATGTATATGTGCTAGAAATTTCAGAAACCAAATTAGCAATTGAGTGGGACTTCCAGGGACTTAAGAGGGTTGCACAAGAATAGGAATAATGTATACAAAGCAAAAGAATAACCTCAGAAGGAGTTCTGCAAATGGTTCAAAAGCAGGCAAGTTTGCATATGGCACAGAGTGCCCTGCATCAGAGCTCTTGCTGTGCAGTTGGTGCATCCCGACCACAAAAATCTTACAAAAGGACAAGATTATAACACTTCCTGTTTGCAACTTGTCTATGGTTTCCCCACAACTGTTTCCAGCTTGATTTCCTTACTGTTGGCGAGTGCTTGTTTCTTTATTATTATGATTATTATTATTATCTTTATTTGTACCCCGCTAGCATCTCCCGAAGGACTCGATGCAGCTTACAAAGGCCAAGGCCTCAAAACATAACATAACAAATACACAACTCAAAGCAAATCAAAAAACAATTAAAGCAATATCAAAACATAAAGCAATAAAACAACACACTAAAAACCACAATAAAACTGTGCCGGGCCAAATATAATGGGTAGGCTTGGGCGATCAAGAAAAAAATTGGTTCTAAACTCGTTTCGTTTCTAGGGTGCGCTAGCGTTTCGAAATTCTAAGGACTTCCGAAATTTAAGATTTTAAAATTTCGAAATTTCTGAAATTTCGTAAATTACGAATCCATTCGTTAATGGCGGACGCGATTGCGCAATATGCTAAAAAAAAACCCTCCAAATGGGACAGGGGGAACTTCT